AGAAAGTATTCTTGTGTTGAGGGAGTACTTGAGTGGAGGCCCAATGTCCTTCTGCTACCTTAATACTAAACCTATAAATGTAGGCTCATAGATCTATTTTTGGTATATTATTCATATTCTTTTTGCTTATTTGCTTAGATATTGGAATTTTAGCATTTTCCTACTGATTTCTGTGATTTATTTAATCCTTAATTATTTTCAAGTATTTTCACAACTCTTTTTGCATTTTATTCCACTAATGTTGTATCTTTACATATGTCTTAATATGTATTTCCATTCAGTAAGTGATGACTAAAAGCTAATATAGATACAGGCTATACAATAATAACCAAAACATTCAAAAGTCTTGCCCTTTAAAAATTTAAAGCCAGTAATGGAAGATTGTTCTTAAATAAATGTTTTCAATTTTTTTCTTTGTGATTTCTATAGGGCTTAAAAGACCTTTCCCAACTAAGAAATTTAGCAAATGTTTATTTCTTTTTTCTCTAGGTTGTTCTAATAGTTCAATTCCTGAAATTTAATTATTTAGTTTCTTTGAGATTAGCTTAAATAGATGATGCAAAGTGAAACTCTTTTTGATTCTTTTTAAAAACTTTTTGATTCTTTTTAAAACAATTAATTTATTTAGTCATCTTTCCCTTCTGCCAACTTTTTGATGCTTCTTTGATCCTAAGTCAAGTTTTTACATCTCATTTCTAGGGGAGGCTCTCTTCAGCTGATCATCTAATTTGTAATCTGTCTCCAAGTTCCTTTGTTCTTATCCTTTTATCTAGAACTCATTTTAATTGTTTTATATAAACAATCTACTTCATCTTCTCCACTGAATAACAAAAATACAACACAAAAGTAATCTAAACATAAAATTGATTGTGGGTATGACTGCACAACTCTTTTCAATACGTTTCAACCACTGTTAAAAAATAATAATCTGAGCATTATGTATTTTTTCTTTAATTTAAGGAAACACTCTGAAGTTTATTGCCACCATTTTGAATCTCCCTCTCTTCTTTTTTTCTTAATTGAGAATGAAAAAGAGGTAGATATAGCAAATCCTGATACATAAAATGCAAAATAACAGAATAGAATGTCTCTTTGTGAAATGAGTATGTACACACATAATTCAATGAAATATGTGTTAAGGCTGGTCCCGGAATGAAAAGGACCAAAAAACAGTAATTAATGTACAGTTTCTACAGTTTCAGATAGTACTTCTGAGTTTTTGATGGCTGAAAATCTAGTGAAAATCTCAGTACCTGAAGATGAAATTCTAGCTGTCATGAATAGCAAGCAGCTACAGAAACCAAATCTGGCCGTAAATAATACCCAGAGGCCCAACATGTGTGCACTATCTGCTGAAGAACAGAAGATCCTACAGTCTCTTAATCATCTCAATGAGAGATTGCATTGTAAGTGTGGAAGGAAGCCTTTTATAAGAAATGTTATCCAATGTGTGTATATAGCTTTAACTCACGATCTAACATTAAAAAAACTTATCTAGTTTTATCATCTACTGAAATCAAGGAAGTAATTATTATTTTATTTTAATAAATCATTTTATTGGGGGATCTTACAGCCCTTATAACAATCCATACATCAATTGTATCAAGCACATTTGTACATATGTTGCCATCATCATTTCCAAAACATTTTCTTTATACTGGAGCCCTTGGTATTAGCTCCTCGTTTTCCTCTTCCGTCCCACCCTTATGAACCCTTGATAATTTATAAATTTTTTTTAGTTTCATATTTTATTCCATCCACTGTCTCCCTTCACCCACTTTTCTGTTGTTTGTCCCCCTGGGGCCGGGGGGTTGTATGTGGATCCACTGTGATTGGTTCCCCCTTTCTTCTTCTCCCCCACCCCTCCTTCCATCTACCCTCATAGTGTCCCTATTCTCATTATTGGTCTTGAGGGATATATGTCCTGGATTCTGTGTGTTGAGAGCACTTATCCGTACCAGTGTGCATGCTCTGGTCTAGCCAGATTTGTAAGATAGAACTGGGGTCATGATAGTGAGGGGGAGGAAGCACTAAAGAACTAGAGGAATGTTGTGTGTTCCATGGGTGCTATACTGCACTCTAGCTGGCTCATCCCTTCCTTGTGACCTTTCTGTGAGGGGATGTCCAATTGTCTACCGATAGGCTTTGGGTCTCCATTCCAACCCACCTCGTTCACATCAAAATTATTATTTGTTTGGGGTCTTCTGATGCCTGGTACCTGGTCCCCTGGATACCTCATGACCACATGGGTTGGTGTGCTTCTTCCACGTGGCCTTTGTTGCTTCCCTGCTACATAGCCGCTTGTTTAACTTCAAGCCTTTAAGACCCCAGATATTAAATCTTTTTATAGCAGGGCACCATCAGCTTTCTTCACCCATCTTGTCTCCAGCAATTGTGTCGGGAAGATGAGCATCATGGAATGCCTGGTTATTGGAACAAAGTGTTCTTGTATTGAGGACTTGAGTAGAGGCCCAATGTATGCCTGCTACCTTAACATTTAACCTATAAATATATGTACATAGACCTATATCCCTATCATTATATAGTAATACATTTACATATGTACATGCTTATATTTATACCTCCATAAATGCCTTTTGCCTCCTACCTCTTTTCTCTATTTCCTTTTTCTTTCCTCCTGTCCCACTATCATGTTTGACCTTCATTTGGCACTGTGTACTTTCCCTCGGCTACATTGCACTTGATTGAACCCCACCAGGCATTATATACCCTCCTTGTCATTGAGTTTAGATCTCTTGTTCCTTGTCCCTGGGTATGCTGGCTCCCCTCTCCCTTTCCCCCACCTCCTCCTCTCCCCTGTCCCCCAGGAGCCGTCAGTCGGTTGTGTTTTCCTCGGGATTGTTTATCCTGCCTGTCTTATACAGATGACATTAAAAACAAAAAAGAAGAAAAATAGCCTATGAATAGTTCCAGGTCTATATGCTGACCCTTATGAATGTTTTCCGAAGGGAATTATTCAGTATATATTTTAATATGTCATATTCTTAAATATACCATACTTATCTCATTGATATAAAGACAATTTTTTGATAGGAATATACAAACACTGCCATTTCAGCAATGTGAAAAGCTAGATGTCTGAGTTTACTGTCCATCAAAAACAACTAAAAGTTCTGAAAAGTAATTTAAAACTTTTTAATTTAAATACAGGAGCTTTTAAGAGTACACAGGATTGCCAAACTAGGAAGTGAATATAGACAGGAACTCAGAAAACTCCGGAGGATATTACATCTCACTTTTATCCTGAGGACATGTAACCTGCAGAGTGAAATGGAACTTTGTTTTTCTTGGCCGCACAGATAAAGGGAAGCAGGGGTGGAGATGCTCAGCTTCCTTAGTAATCCAAAGTAAAGTAAACCTGACTCCCTTCCATCAAATCTTTCCAATTCATAGTTGACCCTATAAGGTAGAGCAAAACTGCTCTCTGGGTTTCTTAGGCTGTACATCTTTAAGGGAGCAGAAAGCCTCAACTTTCTCCCATGAGGCAGCTGGTGGATTCAAACTGCTGACCTTTCAGTTAGCAGGTCAATGTGTGACCAACTTCACCATCATAGAGAAATGCAAACTAAAACAATGTGCTGTGGTTACAACATTCCCTGTTCTTTACTGAGAGACTACAAGGACAGAATGCGTCTTCTATTTAAAGGAGGAAAGGAAGAGGAAGGGATAAGGAAGAGAGGGAGGGGGAAAGGGAGAGGAAAGAGAAAAGCCAGCATTTGATGACAGAAGCCTAAATAAAATTCAAGGTACTAAGAATTCCTTTTCATCAACAAAAGTTTCATGTATTTGTTTTTAATCAAATTACTCCTACTCTCAAGACCATATCTGTGGTCAATGGAATAAAATTCCTCACTCAATTTTACCTGTTTGAGCACATTAGAGTTTAATGCTTGATTGCTTAGTTCTTTCTCTTTCTATATACCTAACTATATCTTTTCTAATATGGTACAATTTCAGATATGCAAGAAACTGTTTGCAAAAATCCACCTATCAATAATATTTTACAAATGATACCACTTCTGGTGAGTATTTAAAGATTGTTTGGTTTTTGTTTGTTTCCCCTTGTTTTCGGAAACCTCCTGATTTTAGGTGTGTAAGGATCTTGGGTGGGTGTTAATAAGATGGAAACTGGTCTTTAGAGAGTTTTTCTCCTCAGCCCTCTTTTCTGTATGAAGTACTGCCGTGGAATGAAGCGGATATCCCTCTGAGAGAAAGACTGCGATGTACAGTTTTACATCCAAAGGGCTTCCTCAGTCACAGGCGTAGTCACAGGAGGGATCAGTCTTCAAATAATTTAAAGTACTAGCTTAACAGGAAAATGTCCTCGAGGTTATGTTGGTAATTGCCTCGTTCTTTGATCATATCTCTTCTATGTTTTCAAATTCAAAACAAGACATTACTATTTTGGAAAAAAAAAATTTGTCTTGGCACTGGGCTCTGGTAAACCTACACATATGAAGGAGACACCAACACTGCATTCAGGACATACAAACTAGGCACGCACAGTCTGATTAGGGAGAATGGCGTAATTGTTGATCCAAGTAAAATTAAATCCTTGACAGCGTCCATCTTTTGTCTGTTTATCAGGATGTTGCTTGTTGGTCAAGCTGGGAAGGTTTGTTGGCAATATATTGACGTATAATCCATACTGAAGACTGTGGTCTTCGATCTTTATCAGCGAACACTCCGGGTCCTCTTTACTTCCAGCAAGCAGAGTTGGGACATCTGCAGCTCACGGTCATTAATGAGCTCCCTCCCCTCCTAATGCTTGCTCTTCTTAGAGTCCTGCTTCTTGGAGTATTTGCTCCGCACACAGATGGTCTAAATATGGCGAAAGGGTACCACCCTGCTACAACACCTTTCCCAATGTTACTCACACACGAGTAGGATTGTGATAAACATAATTTTTCAATGACTATAGCAGTAGGTCAGCAGGGAACTGCTAGAAAGCCAAGCTAGATTCAGAAAGGGATGTGGAGCAAGGGATATATTGCTGATATCAGATGGATCATGGCGGAAAGCAAATAAACCAGAAAGATGTTTGCGTATGTTTCATTGGCTATGCAAATTCCAGAACCCTTAATTGTGGTCTTGTAGAACTTGTACCATGACCAAGAGGCAGTTATTCAAACAAATTAAGGTGATACTGCATGCTAGACCAATATATGTAAAATTCCCCACCGGGCACTATATAGGCTCACAATTTCATATAGACAGTTGTATTTTAAAAATTCTTTTTACCGTTGCACAGCAAATTATGATAGAAAGTCATTCTTTTTGTTGTTGTTCTACTTTTTATTTATTTATTATCATTTTATTGGGGGCTCGTACAACTCTTATCACAATCCATACATCAATTGAATCAGGCATGTTTGTATATATGTTGCCCTCATTCTTTTCTAGACATTTACTTTCTATTGAGCCCTGGGTAACAGTTCTTTTCCACTCCTACTGCGCCCCCCCCCCATAGACTGTGCATTGTTATTATTTTCATCTCTCATACCAACCGCTGTCTCCCTTCCCCCATGTTAGAAAGTAATTCTTAAGCACATCTGACTAGTAGTTAAAGTGAATGTTATGCATTATTTTAGTTAGTACAATGACTTACACATAGTGATTTTGAGTTTTGTTGTTACAAAGGTAAGTCAAAAAGTATTGCTATTGGGGTTCAAGTGTACATGTGCACAGGTTTACTCCAAACAAAACGGGTTGATGCATATCTCTGTGATTGGTGGATGGGTGCAGTCAGGTCCTCTCAGTAATACGCTTATCTCAGTTTCATTAGGGTGTCTGCACACAAAACATGGGAGGACAATGGTTGTTGTTTTGTTTGGCATTCCAAAGAGGTGACCCTAGTGAACTTCTGTGGAGAACACAGGATGACCATGGGGCTTATTAGGAAGAAGGGTAAGAAAGTTGAACGCTGCACTGGTGAGCTGCGTGTGTGATAAAAAGGTATCAAGGAATCACGTCGATCACAATGCGCCTGCTGCTCATTCTTCGAGGGTCGAAAGGGCTTTCCTAGAAGAATTCATTGAGAAACCTCACCTCATCCACCGTACAGCGTTGATCTTACCCCATTTGGACTTCTCTTGGTTCCTAAATCTCAAAGAACGTTTAAAGGGAACACGATTTGAGTCCATCAGGATGACAAAACTGTTGTTTGGACATAGTGTAAATTAGACAGGGGATTTGTGGAGGAAGGGTGAGAGAGACGGAGACCTCGCCTCCAGAAGAAGCCCTAGTTGGAGGGTACGTAGAGAAAGATTCGTGCTACATTTTAATAATTGTGTTTAATAAAGGTTTCTAGGATTTGCAGCAGTACTTTAGACTTACCCTCATATAGCATCTGAGATTTGGGATTAAGTTTCGTCTTATTAAAATCTGTAATCCATAGGGATATCTACCTGTTAAATTCCATGAACAGGACAGTAAAATAGTATTTTAAACTGTGTTGCAGAACAGTCAGCCACAAGCCAGGTCCTCTCCTGCTGCTACTGGATCAAGACTGCAGAGAAAATAGTGATGGATTATAACAATAACTATTAAATGGAATCACTATTTTTGAGATCTTATGTAAATATATATTCCTCCATTTGTTAATGATTTAAAGCACTGTGCTTAACCAAAAAATAAAGGCAAATCCTAACATAGGTAATGGACTTAAATCAATTCATTTACATTTATGCTACAAATTATACTTTATTATGTATTTTATTGATAAATACATTTTTAATGAATGGGAATAGTTCATTGTTTTTAATGAGCATGCTCCTGGATATAAATTCATTATATTTGAATATAAAAGGCAACTTATTTTGCTATTCAAATTATGTATTAGCTGTAGTTGTAAAAGCTTTGTTTCTCTGAAATTCTTAATAAATTATCTAACCTTTTGGTACCCTGGTATAAAAAGTTTATAATTAGTCCTATTCTGTATGAATAGTAAACTGTTTATGAACTAGCAGGGTCGCGGACTCTGAAGATGTTACCAAGGAATCTTATCTCAACTCTGCTCAACTGTTATCAGTTAGTTTATCCAGGGGAGATTTGCTCTTTTAAAACAAGGCCTACATGCACAAAATTTACAAGAGACTGAATGGCAAGTGTGAAAAATAAACTGCAATCTCAACTGGATTACCTAAAGTGCCTGATTCTTTCCCCAATCTGAGTATGTTCTTTCCCAGTAGGAATATCTGCCTGGAAACTTATATCAAGCATTTGCAGTTCAAAGTCCAGAAGGAAAGACAAACGTTACATGATTTTTTTAAGTTGTTTATGATAGTCTCAAATATTCTTTTCACTTCCCCCAACTAGTCCTGCAACTTGGTGGCGTAGCGTTCACACGTTGGGCTGCTGATCACGAGGTCTGCATGATGCCAGGCCTGTGTCTGGGTCTCACGCAGGAAGTCCGTATCCCCTGCGTGCACATCCCCCGCGTCTGCTCAGTGCCCTCATGGCGGCGCTTGTCTGCACCAGGCCTAGGAAATGCTGCTGTCCAGTGCGGAGGTGGTTCACACGCAGCCCGTCTTCACCTGGAAACCTTGGTTCCCAGGCTCAACGGCACATCAGTCACCAAAAAATGCTAATGCCTGGT